ACATGGCAGTCCAGAGGAGCTCCAGTGGTGCAGTGCTTAGGCAACTGGCTGCTAGTCAAAAGGTCGTTCGTTTGAACCTATCAGCAGCTGTGCAGGAGAGAGATGAGGCACTCTGCTTTTGTAAAGCTTTAAACAATTTAAACCGTTCTACTCTATTCTATAGGGTTGCTAAGAGTTGGAATTGATTTGATGGCAGTGGATTTGGTTTTGGTTTGGTTTATGGCAGTCCATGGTATATTCAACATTCTTTGCCAAAGCCATAATTCAAAGGTATCAATTGTTCTTCAGTCTTCCTTTTTCACTGTCCAGGTTTTGGATGCATGTAAGGCTACTGAACAAAGCATAACTTGGGTCAGGTGCACCTTAGTCCATAAAGTGACATCATTGCTTTTTAACACCTTAAAGAGGTCTTTTGCAGCTGATTTGCCCAAAGTAATACACTGTTTGATTTCTTGACTGGGGTTCCATGAGCATTGATTGTGGATCGAAGTAAAATGAAACCCTCCACAACTTCAATCTTTTCTCCATTTATCGTGATGTTGCTTATTGGTTCAGGTGTGAAGATTTTTGTTTTCTTTATGATGAGGTCTAATCCATACTAAAGGTTGTAGTCTTTAATCTTCATCAGTAAGTGCTTCAAGTCATCTTCACTTTCAGCAAGCAAGGTTGTGCCATCTGAATGTTCCATCTTGTTAGTAGGTCTATCCTGATGCCACATTCTTCTTCAGATAGTCCAGTTTCTCAGATTATTTGCTCAGCATACAGATTGAATGAGTATGGTGAAAGGATACAACCCTGATGCACAGCTTTCCCAACTTTAAATGATGCAATATTGCCTTTGTTCTGTTCAAACAGCTGCCTCTTGGGCTATGTACAGGTTCAGCATGAGCACAATTAAGTGTTCTAGAATTCCCATTCTTCTCAATGTTATCCATAATTTGTAATGATCCACAGAGTCTAATGCTTTCACAAAGTCAATAAAATACAGGTAAACATCTTTCTGATTATTCTCTGCTTTGAGGTAAGATCCATCTGATGTCAGCAATGATATCTCTTGTTCTATGTCCTCTTCTGAATCCAGCTGGAATTGACACACTGCTGCAACCATTTATTTTTTTAAATCTTCATCAAAATTTTACTTGTGTGTGATATTGTTAGGTAATTTCTGCATTGAGATGGGTAACCTTTCTTTGGAATGGCACACATGTACATTTATTTCAGCTGGCTTGCTAGGTAGCTGTCTTCCAAATTTCTTGGCATAGACAAATGAGTGTGTTCAGCATTGCATCTGCTTGTTGAAACATCTCAACTGGTATTCCATCAATTTCTGGAGCCTTGTTTCTCTCAAAGGCTTCTGTGCAGCTTGCACTTCCTTCAATACCATCAGTTCTTGATTCTGAAATGGTTGAATGTTGACCAATTCTTTTTGGTACAGTGACTGAGTATTTCTTCCATCTTCTTTTCATGCTTTTTACATGTTGCTGTGAGGCTGGAGGCTATGTCACTGGTATTTCAAACACCAGCAAGGTCACCTACAGTGGACATGTTTCAATGGAGCTTCCAGACTAACACAGATTAGGAAGAAGGAACTAGCAGTCTACCTCAGAAAATGGCCAGTGAAAAACTTTTGAATAGCAGTGAAACATTCAAAGAACTAGACTTGAGTGAGTGATTTTATACTCTAATCAAGGGAACTTGTTGTTGTTGTGTACCGTCCAGTTAGACCCGACTCATAGTGACCCCTCCTTGGGTTTCTGAGGCTGTATCACTACGGAAATTAAGGGAACTAGATACCGCAAACTGCACTTCAAAAGTGTCAAAAGGGAACAGGAGTGAGTTACATTCTAAACCAAAAACAAACTCACCATGGAGTTGATTCTGACTCACAGCGACCCCCTTTGGGTTTCCAAGGCAGTAAATCTTTACAGAAGTAGATTCCAAGGAGTGGCTGGTAGGTTTGAACTACCAGCCTTCTAGGTTAGCAGTCAAGTGCCTTAAGCACTATGCCACCAGAGCTCCTAGTAGTTGCTGGAATTTGTGGTCTACTCTCTCACAGAAAAACACCAAACCTACAAATAACTAAAAGGTTTAAAGTACAAATGTCTGTAATTACTCTTTGAAATGCCGTCTCCTGCTTGTCCAAGCTTCTTCCTGC